CATCATCTATTCAAAACTTTGTAAAAAAACACTGTTATGTAGAATATGTCATTGTTTTTGGAACACTTTCTTTTAAAGAAATATTTTCTATACATATGTATAAACATATATAGAAGTGTGTGTATATATATATGCATACTGTGTATATATACACACTTCACAGGTAACATACTGTATCTGCTCTATAGTGCAGATTTCTTTCCTTGTTTTTGGAACACTTTCTTTTTTAATATTGTTTATACATATGTATAAATATATATAGAAGTGTAAGTGTGTGTGTTTGTGTGTTTATATATATATATATACTGTATACACACATTTTACAGGTAACATATCTGCTCTATACTTGACGTTTTCTATCAAAAGATTGTAAATTATGAGCATCTTTGGAATAGACCCATACAGGTTGTGTCTATCTTTTAGCCTTTGTGAGAGCATGATGCACCCAAATGCTGCAGATTGCACTTAAAGCAAACCCTGAATGTGACGGAACAGGAACTTACGTCACTCTGGATGTAGTTGGCCATCCGGGCTCTTTCTGTCTCGACGGTGACAGCAGGCGAGCTGTTGGTTCCCTTGATATTGGCGTTGTAATCTTGACGGTAGTTGAGCTGGAAAAGGAAAAAAAAGAAAATGGAGAGGGATGAGTCGAGATGTCCGTTTGGGCGAATTTCACCAGTTAAAATGTCGACATCGGGTCAAAAGGACTCACATCACTCAGGTTCTGGGCGTTCTGCTTGGCCGTCTCGTACACTGGAGTCTCCGTCACCACAGAGTACTCCTTGAACGCCTCGATGCCTTTGGCTCTGTACTTAATCTGGAAGAGAAGGAGAAAATCAGCCGAGATACCAGAGGAGAGCAGAGAGGAGAAGGCTTTCATGGGGAGAGTGGGATGGGCTTACCTCGCTCTGGAGGTCACCAGCGTGCTTAACCCTCAGGATCTCTGGGGTGTCCCAGGCGTAGCAACCAATTCCTTTGAGCCAGTTCAGGTCGTCCTTGTAGAAGACCTGGGGAGAATTAAGGAGATTTTTAACAGTTTATTCTCTTATTTTCTTGACTTTTAGGGTTCAACTGGCATAACAAATTAGCTGTGATAAGCTCCTTCTTCTCGTTTTAGTGAAAAAGTGAGCAAGCAGAAAACAAACTGTGGACAGGAAGCTACTCACGTCACTGAGCTGCTCGTTGACTTTGCGAGCCTGGACGTACACCTGCATGTCGGGCATGCAGATCCACTGGTGCAGGTACTTGCGGTAGTTGATCCCGCTGACGGTGGACTGGGTGTTGCGAGCAGACAGGATTTCCAGCATGTCCGGGGGGATGTGGTTCTTGGCCTTGGTCTTCTCGTAGTTCTCCTTGTACAGGCGCTGTGAGGACAAACAAGCAATCTTTGAGTATTTACACTCACCGCTGGATGGATTTATAAATTACGACTTATTTTTATTTATTTATTTAATCAGGACAGTGCACATTAATGAACAATCTTATACTTCTGTACAGATTGTAAATGAGCCAGATTATAGCATAGTTGCTAATTTACATCTGTCGTCCTGAGGCAGGAAGACAAAACACAAGATCACATAATACAATATTAGTCAAAACACATAGACACACGTTCAGACAATGACATTACAACAATAAAATGAGTGAGTGCCTGACTGGCAACTTTTAAGAAACTGTTTAAGGTGCTTTTTAAATGTGCAATAAGTGGGACAATCCCTGATGTTTGTTGGGAGGCTGTTCCAGAAGTGACCCCCTCTGACTGATAGAACGGTTTGTCCAAAGGTTGTTCTTCTGTGGGGGATTTCTAGCAACACTGTAGTAATTAGCTAAAAATTGAGAATCTCATCTGACTTACATCCAGCACCAGCTTTCCGGCTTTGACACAGCGGGCAGTGGCAGGATCGTCTTCCAGGGACTTGGGAAGACTGTAAAGGGTTTTGAACTTCTCGTAATCCTCCTTGTACTTCACCTACATGGGAAAGAGGATCCAAACAGCAGGTTAAGGTCGCATCTGAGGATACGAAGCAACACAGAGTGGAAAAATAATGCCAAAAGAAGCGAAGGCTGCACTTACATGGCTGAGGATGACCTTCTGGTGTTTGGCGTGCTCCATGGCGTGCGAGTCGTGAGGGATTTGGTAGCCCTTGGCTTTGATCTTATCCCAGGCGGCCGTGTAGTTTTTCTATTGGCGAAAAGAACAGAAAAGGTTGGGCTGCTCCAGACAGGAGTCCAACAGGAGTCTTTGGACATTTCGACAGGCTAAAGACGGCGTTCGGTTTTAGCCTTACGTTGCTGAAGAAGTGCTTGAAGTTGTGGCACCTGGCGTAGTCGTAGGTGTCCAGAACGGTGGTGTACAGGTGCTTCTCCTTGTGGTACGCCTCCCGGTAGCTGAGCTGTGGACGACAGATGTTTGACGTATGCTCACAGTCGGGTTTTCCTTCGAGGCCCAGCAGAAATAGCGGCGCTCACTCACCTCACTGGCCCAGGTGTGACCCAGGACAGCCGTCACATACTCCGGAGTGTCTGTCACTATGGAGTAGTTGTTGAATTCCTTCTTGGCGTCCACTCTGTATTTCAGCTTCAGGGGAACACAGATTCAAAGATTACAGAATTGAACTCATTTAATGTCACTGGTCACTTTCACTTCTACATTTTGTTAGGAGTTTTATACTTTTTTCTATTTTTAATTTTATATTTCAATAAGTTGAGATTAGTTTTGGAGTGTATGTTAAATTTTGGACCGAATTTTGTAATATTGTACTGAATTTAGTGATTTAGCCTTTTCTCTGTGCTTTCTCTGTGCCCATGTTAAGCTGATGGAACTAGAATTTCCCTGAAGGATTCGTCCCAAGGAGATTAATAAAGTCAAGTCTAAGCCTAATATTTTCCCCCAAACAGAAGATTTTCTGCGGCGTTGCTCACTTCGCTCTGCAGCTCGTAGGACTTCTTGGCTCGGATGATTTCCGGCGTGTCCCAGACATAGCAGCCGATACCCTTCATCCAGTTCAGGTCGTCTTTGTAGAAAACCTGTCAAACAATGGCGGGAAAAAAGTATTTGATTCTTGTCATTTATTAAGGACATTTAAGCTACTTTAAAGCAAAGATTGAACCAATGTAAGACAAAATGCGGCCTCATACAAGATACATTAGGGAGCATTGTCTTTGACAACTGGCATGCAGAACGTGTGACCTACATCACTGAGAATTTCATTGGTCTTGCGGGCGCGAATGGCGTCCTCCTGTTCGGGGTGGCAGGTCCACTGGTGCAGGTATGTGCGGTATAGGACGTCGCTCAACATGTCCTGGCACTTCTTAGCCACCTTGTTGGCGATGATGTCGGGTGGGAGGTGGATCTTGGTCTTGGTTTGATGGTAGTCCTTCTGGTAGACTCTCTGTAGCGACACGCATTATGTGCATTACAACTGAATCCTGATACTGATTATGAAAGCAGGTCAATTTAAAGAAAATGTCTTTCTTTTTCTTCTTTATTCAAATGTTGATGATCATCCTTTTGTCACATAATCACCCTCTTCATCCAGAAGTTTAATTTTGTAATTATTTGTGAGGATCTCTGGTATGTATCTAATATGTATATTTAAATAATCAGTGACAGCCTTCATGCTTTATGTGCATAGAGGATAAGATAGATGAATGATCTCACCAGTCCTTTGTTCTTCTCCTGTCCTCCACAGCGCATCACCTCAGGGAAGTCCACCAGGGTTCCAGCCATGTAGTGACCCTTGGCTTTCTCATGTATCTCCTTGTATTTCACCTGGAGTCCAAAGTAATAAAAGTTAGATGCAATGAGAGGAAAACATGCCAATGTTTGTTGTGCCATAAATCACAGGCGGGAAAAAAGGTGAATGCAGTAGAATGTGTAGAAACTCACATCGCTAGCGATCGTCCTGCCATGCTTGCCCCTGAGAAGCGGGATGTATGCCTGATCCAGCTTATACCCTGCGGCCTTGGACTCGTCCCATTGCAATTTGTAGTGTTTCTGAAACCAAAAACAGTTGTCGCACAGGTTGAGAAAAGCCTGACCTCACGTGGAGTCACTAACAAAGATAGATGTCAAAAGAGAGTCTGACCTCACTGATGATCTTTGCCACCTCCCTGCTGTGCGCCAGCTGGGGTGTATCCTCAGAACCGATATACTGACCCTTTTCTGCATTGAAGGTCTCTTTGTATTTCAGCTACAACACAAAAGCAGAAAGGAACGCATTCGTTTCACTTTGTTTGGGGCTTACGATGGTTTTCTTTTTAAAATCCAGCCTTTTCTGTGCTGACTTACATCGCTGAGGTTGGCAGCATTCACTTTAGCCAAGACGATCTCGGGACGGTCCACGACCAGGGTGAATTTCGCAAACTGGTCGACGGCGTCCTTCTTGTAAAGCCTCTGCACACAAAAGGAAAGGCACGGAGGTGTGTGAGGCCCATTGAAAAAGCAGAGAAACCCGAGGACGGAGCAGAAAAAAGCTCACCTCGTTAAGAATGTGCTGGGCCTTCTTGACTTTGACGTGTTCAACAGAGTCAGCTGCCACCCACCCGCAGCCGCGAATCCATTCCATGTCAGCCTTGTACACGACCTGCAACACACAAACCAAAGGAGTGAGGGCACGGCCTTCTGACGGCTCACTGAACGAATGAGATGAGCTCCATTTCTTCACTCACATCGCTCTGCAGGTCGTAGGCTTTGCGGGCCTGGATGACGTCGTTGGAGTCGGGCATGCAGGTCCAGTTGTGCAGGCGGGTTCTGTAGTTGTCGTCATTCACTTGCCTCTGGCACTTCTTGGCCAGCTCAAACTGCAGCATGTCCACGGGCAGGTTGAACTTGGTCTTGGACTTGTTGAAGTCCTTCTTGTACAGAGCATCGCTGGCGATCTTGGCTGAGTTCAGAGCCAGCATGAGCAGCGGGTCGTCCTGCACGCTAAGGGCTCCGATGTGGTGACCCACCTGCTTCCGGTAACTTTCCAGGTACTTATGCTGCAGGACAAACACAAATCATGTCTTTTTCTCAGAAATACCAATATCCATTTAAATCTATCATGAAATAAAATTATTCAACTGAGCCCAAATACTCACATTACTTTGCACTTTAGTTGTGTGGATGCACTGTTTGATGGGCACAGCATCTGCAGGTATGAAGTATCCTGTGGACTTCACCTTGTCCCAGGCGTCCGTGTACAGTTTCTGCAAGACAAGGCCACAATTGCCATAGATGCCTTCTCACACATTGGATACCAGGGAAGTGAATCACATTGGTTACACACAAAGTGTTGGTTGGTCAAACTCTCTTACCGGGTGAACGTTTTTAGCCACCTCTCTGGCTGTGGCGAAACCTGGAGTGTCCGACAGAGTGTACTTCGTCTTATCCTGGTGCCAAGCCTCACGATATTTGGCCTACGCAGAAATATGGGGGTAAAAAAAGCAGTTACCAAAAAGACAGCCATTTTCTAAATTGGTATTTGGGGGAAGAAGCTTCAAGAAAAGACTCTGCTGAGACAGACTTGGTCGAACAAAGGAGGTTTTTATTTTTAGGCCAGGTCCCTATCAGAAGTATAGAATGATGTATCAAATCTGGATGTCAAAGTCCCCCTTTACCCAGTCTTCACACCTTCCCCCAGTTGGTCCTACTTTAGGTCTTAATGTGCATCCTACTATCACAGTCTTTGCTATGGGTCTGGAGATGGTAGCTTGTCCTCCCATATTTGGTAACCCTGGGTCTGTACATCTCCCTTCTGACGATACAACTTAAGAATGTGCTTATCTCAGATGGTGAACAGTCTTTGCTTTTATGGAGGCCTCAGACACTATAAAAGAACCCTAGATGCATTTGAAGAGCGTCTATGTCCCTACCTCGTTCAGGACGTCGGCAGCATTCTTGGCAAGGACCATATCAATCCTGTCTGTAGGACATGTGAACTTCTGTTCATCCAGCTTGACACGGTAGCCCCTCTGTTAGAGACGATGAGATAAACAACACACAGGTTGCTGAAAGTACACAAAAAGTATTTCTAAACAAACTCTTTGAAATACAGTGAGAGTCGAACTCACCTCGGCGAGGACCTTCTGTGCATGCTTCACCTTCATGACATCCACACTCTCGTGTGGCATCCACCCACAGCCCCGCAGCCACTCCATATCGGCTTTGTACACAGCCTGGAAACAAAAGGAGGCATGGTTTTTAATTCTGCCCCTGGAACAGAGCCGTATGGATCGTTTTTACGGTGCACACCAGCGTGAACTCACATCGCTCTGCAGGTCGTAGGCCTTCCGGGCCTGGACCACGTCGTTGGAGTCGGGCAGGCACGTCCACTGGTGCAGGCGGGTGATGTAGTTGGCGTGGTTGACCTGGATCTGGCACTTCTTGGCCAGCTCAAGGCTCAGCATGTCCACGGGCAGGTTGAACTTGGTCTTGGACTTGTTGAAGTCCTTCTTGTACAGAGCATCGCTGGCGATCCTGGCTGAGTTCATGGCCAGCATGATCAGAGGGTCCTCCTGGACACAGCGGGCTCCGATGTGGTGGCCCACCTGCTTCCGGTACCCTGTCTTGTATTTGTACTGATGGGGAGGAGGCAAAATGTTAATGCAAAGCTCTGTAAACAGGCTTCAGGTCGATTTGAGGACTTTTTCCTTACATCGCTAACGATATCTCTGGAAGCTCGGGCTTTCAGGACAGAGATAGCATCCTCCTTGATGTGGTAGCCTTTCGCTTTCTGGTCGTCCCACGCCTTTGTGTACAGTTTCTGCTCGGAGAATAAAATCAATTAATTAAAATGTTGATTATAATTAACAACAACAATAATAATAATAACAGCACATGAATTACAAAGTTACAATATCATCAACAACCCTTCATCTACCTACATAAGTAAATATCTATGCATTTTTGGTTTTAAAATAAGCGGGTATAATGTACCAAAGTGATCACAGACTTACGTTGCTGATTGTGATAGCATTTGCTTTGGCCAGTTCAAAGCTTGGAGCATTTTTTGGTATATGGAAGTTGACCTTCTCCTTATCCCAGAGTTCCCTGTATTTCGACTGTGACAAGAAAAAAAGATACAAAGTTTTTTAATCCAAATTCTTATGCCTGCAAACTAACATGTGCAAGTTAATCTCTACCACTCACGTTGCTCAGGTTGTCGGCATTTTGCTTGGATAAGACAATCGCCGGGAGATCGACCACGCTGGTGAAACTGATGGTGCTTGGGGGCTGGCGGTACAGCCTTTCGTTGATGACTTTCTGAGCATTTCTAACTTTGATGACATCCACAGAGTCCTGAGGCGACCAGCCACATCCCCTCAGCCACTCCAGGTCTGCTTTGTAAACAGCCTGGAAAACCAGAATAATTTGTGACCCACAACAAAAAGGGACAGTGTTGTAGGCTTGGAGACATTTACACACATAAACGTGTGTACATGTAAACTCTTTTCATTCGAATATCTTGCAGGAAAATGTCAGCAACTGTCTCTGCATGGAAATCCCTGAAATATATAATATGCTCTCACATCGCTCTGGAGGTTGTAGACTTTTCTAGCCTGGACCACGTCGTTGGAGTCGGGCAGGCACGTCCAGTTGTGCAGGTGAGTCCTGTAGTTGAAGTCGTTGACTTGAGTCTGGCATTTCTTGGCCAGCTCGATGGTCAGCATGTCGACCGGGAGGTTGAACTTGGTCTTGTTCTTGTTGAAATCTTTCTTATAAATGTTGTCACTGGAGATCCTGGCGGCATTGGCGGCCAGCATAATCAGGGGGTCGTCTTTGACGCTGAGGGCACCGATGTGATGGCCGCACTGCTTGCGGAAACCGGCCTTGTACTTGTACTGAAATTCAAATAATGTTTTAGAATAGGTCAGACACAAAATGGAAGCAGCGTTAAATGTTTAGGAGTGGCAAAAGACTCACATCGCTGACGATGTCTCGGTGTGCCCTGGCTGCCAAGACAGAAATGGCATCCTTGGGAAGGATGTAGCCTTTGTTGATGGTGTCCATATAACCTTCACGATAATATTTCTGAAAAAAATGAAAAAAGATGCTGTTAGGATGGCACTTATAATATATTGAGATCATTACATAGGTTATTTTTCTCAGTATGATTTATCATAATGATGCATTAAACAAGTGAAGAATAACTAATCTGCTAATAAGCTTTAATGTACTGACTGGTGCATAAAACTCCATGAAAAGACACTGCCTTACCAGACTGGTGTTGAGTTTGTTCGCCTTTGCCAGGATGATCTCTGGAGTGTCTGATAGGACGTGGATGTTGATCTTATCCTTTTCCCAGGCGTCAATGTATGCTTTCTGTTAACAGCAGAGTGGTCATATTAAAGAAGGACCCTTAACTGAGGCTGTTTGGTGCTGATGTTACCAAATGAGCTTTTTGTACCTTGTTCATAACCTGAGCGTTGGCCTGAGCCAGAGCATATGGTATGTCAGATGTACTGGCTGTGAACTTGAAGTTGCAGGGGTGCTGGCGGTACTTCCTTTCGCTCAGAATCTCTCCTGCTTTCTTGGCTTTCTCCACATCGACTGAACCAATTGGCACCCATCCCATTCCCTTGACCCACTCCATGTCAGCTTTGTACACAGCCTGTAAGACAGAGCGCAGAAGAACCTCTCAGCTAGCAGCAAAGCAACAAAAAAAAGTGGTAAGAAAAAAGATTTTGCACTCACATCGCTCTGCAGGTCGTAGGCTTTCCGGGCCTGGACCACGTCGTTGGAGTCGGGCAGGCACGTCCAGTTGTGCAGACGAGTCCTGTAGTTGAAATCGTTGACCTGAATCTGGCACTTCTTGGCAAGCTCAAGATTCAGCATGTCCACGGGCAGGTTGAACTTGGTCTTGGACTTGTTGAAGTCCTTCTTGTACAGAGCATCGCTGGCGATCCTGGCTGAGTTCAGGGCCAGCATGATCAGAGGGTCCTCCTGGACACAGCGGGCTCCGATGTGGTGACCCACCTGCTTACGGTACCCAGTCTTGTACTTGTACTGGGAAGATATAGCAAACATGAAGTTACATAAAACAGAAAAAAGGCAAACATTAAAAAGACCTGAATAGGTTTCTGATTGTGTACATACGTCACTGATGATCTCTCTTCCATGTTTGGCTGCTTTGATGGAGACAGCGTCTGCCCTTATGTCATAGCCCTTTTTGAACATCTCCTCAACAGCTTCCCTGTATAGTTTCTAAAAGGAAAACAGAAAATCATTCTCATGAATCAAACTAAGATGTAGAAACTAGAAAAAGACAAAGACCAAAGAGGACCAACATACCTTGCTGTTGTTGTAGGCATTGGCTTTAGCCAGCACCAGCTCGGGAAGGTCAGTCGTCACATGGGTCTTAATTTTATCAGCCTCCCATGCAGCAATGTAATTTTTCTGTGGAGATTAAAGGAAACAGGGAGAATAAAAAGACAAACAATCACCGGGTAGATGAAGCAGCAAAAGGACCAATGTAGGATCATTGAATGTTGCACCTTATTCATGACTTCAGCGTTTGCTTTAGCTAAGACCATGGACATGGCATTCATGTCGGTTTTGAATTTCAGAGTGTTTGGGCTCTGCCTGTAGAGGCGTTCGTTGAGGATTTTTCCTGCTTGTTTGGCCTTCATCACATCCACAGAGCCGATGGGGATCCATCCCACGCCAATAACCTCATCCTTGTCAGCTTTGTACACGGCCTTGGAAAGAACACAAGGTGTTAAAAGACATAACCACGCTCACAATAAATGCCTTAAATGTATCGAAAGGGGGGACCCACATCGCTCTGCAGGTCGTAGGCCTTCCGGGCCTGGACCACATCGTTGGAGTCGGGCAGGCAGGTCCACTGGTGCAGGCGGGTGATGTAGTTGGCGTGGTTGACCTGGATCTGGCACTTCTTGGCCAGCTCAAGACTCAACATGTCCACGGGCAGGTTGAACTTGGTCTTGGACTTGTTGAAGTCCTTCTTGTACAGAGCATCGCTGGCGATCTTGGCTGAGTTCAGGGCCAGCATGATCAGAGGGTCCTCCTGGACACAGCGGGCTCCGATGTGGTGGCCCACCTGCTTCCGGTACCCAGTCTTGTACTTGTACTGAAAGGGGTCAGAAGAAAATGGTTTTAATGACAAAAGAAACAACCACAACACATCGGTGTAATATCCAAGGGAAGATAATCAGGGAGCAACTTGATAACTCACATCACTGATGATGTCCCTAGAGGCCTTGGCCAACTTGACAGAGACTGCATCTCCAGGAAGGACATAGCCCTTCTTGATGGTTTCATCAAAGCCTTGACGATACAGTTTCTGCAACATGAGACATGAATCAACACTTTTCTTCTTCTTACACCTATCAAAACACTGCTACGGTCCACAGATACGCTTTTCCCTAATGGAATTTCTCTAACCTGGCTCATGGTGACAGCGTTCTGCTGAGCAAGGACAATCTCGGGTGTGTCAGGCTTGATGTGCAGGTTGATCTTATCCTTCTCCCATGCCTCAGTGTAGAGGCGCTGCAGTAAAAAAGAACCCACAAGACACGTTGTCAATTGAAGCTTTTGACCATAACAGCCTGGTAACTTTGGATGGGAACCGGTCAGACCTTGTTCATAGTCAGGGCGTTATTCTTTGCCAGCACAAGGTCGATGGCATCTGTAGTTCTGGTGAATGGAAGGGTGCTCGGGTGCTGGCGATACTTCTGTTCGTTCAAAGCTTCTCCGGCCTTCTTGGCCTTCTCCACATCAACTGAGCCAATGGGCACCCAGCCAATGCCCTGGAGCCACTTCAGGTCAGCTTTGTAGACGGCCTGTGGAGCACAGCAGCACAGGTTTTCATACCTGACACGCACTAAAATAGAAAATGGAAATGGAAAAAAATAATTGATATGACTCACATCGCTCTGCAGGTCGTAGGCTTTCCGGGCCTGGACTACATCGTTGGAGTCGGGCAGGCAGGTCCAGTTGTGCAGGCGGGTGATGTAGTTGGCGTGGTTGACCTGGATCTGGTTCTTCTTGGCCAGCTCAAAGGCCAGCATGTCCACGGGCAGGTTGAACTTGGTCTTGGACTGGTTGAAGTCCTTCTTGTACAGAGCATCGCTGGCGATCCGGGCTGAGTTCAGGGCCAGCATGAGCAGCGGGTCGTCCTGGACGCTGCGGGCTCCGATGTGGTGACCCACTTGCTTCCGGTACCCAGTCTTGTACTTGTGCTAGGAAAGGAAAACAATTGTTAGTTTACCCTGTTTTTTTCAAAAACATTACAGCTCCCTGGAGCAAGGACTAAAAATCAGAGTCTTACATCACTGGCGATGTCCCTGTTTGCTCTCGCTGCGATAATGGAGATGGCATCATTGCGCAGATCGTAACCCTTCTTCTTAGCATCTTCATACACCTGCTTATATTTTTTCTGTAAAAAAAATGTAGATTTTGTTTTTAGATGCAAAGGTAATGGATACAGCTGCTCGTAGTGAAGGTATTTAGTTTCACTTTTGGGTACTTACATCACTATAGATGACATTGTTTGCTTTGGCCAGGAGAACATCCATAGCATCTGGCATGACGTGGACCTTTGTCTTCTCCTTTTCCCAGACTTCAGTGTATGCTTTCTGTAGTCAAAGAAACCAAAATGGTTAGAAATTAGCCCCTTCAGCACAAATCAGTTTATATGATAACCATTCCCTGCCGATTAAACTGACTGTATCCAATTGTTCATACCTTGTTCATAACCTGATTATTAGCCTTAGCTAATGCCATGGGTATGTCCTCGGTTGTTATTTTGAATTTGTAATTGCTGGGATGCTGGCGATACTTCTGCTCGCTTAGGATCTCGCTGGCTTTCTTTGCCTTCTCAACATCCAGCGAACCGATTGGCACCCAGCCAACACCCTGCTGCAACTTCCAATCCTCCTTGTACACAGCCTGAAAAACACAGGAGTTTTTTTTAAATGATGAAAAAGGAAAAGCTAGCTTCCACAGTTTAGAGAAAAAAAAAGGCTTTACTCACATCGCTCTGCAAGTCGTAGGCTTTCCGGGCCAGGACCACGTCGTTGGAGTCGGGCAGGCAGGTCCAGTTATGCAGGCGGGTGATGTAGTTGGCGTGGTTGACCTGGATCTGGCACTTCTTGGCCAGCTCAAGAACCAACATGTCCACGGGCAGGTTGAACTTGGTCTTGGACTTGTTGAAGTCCTTCTTGTACAGAGCATCGCTGGCGATCCTGGCTGAGTTCAGGGCCAGCATGATCAGAGGGTCCTCCTGGATGTTGCGGGCTCCGATGTGGTGGCCCACCTGCTTCCGGTACCCTGTCTTGTACTTGTACTGGGAAAGGAAAACAAAACAAATTAAATGTCAGCCTGCACCAGGGTAAGCCTCAGTTACTGCTGGTCAGTGATGAACTCCTACAGCTTACATCACTGGCGATGTCTCTGGACGCTCTGGCTGCGAGGATGGAGATGGCATCGTTGCGCAGATCGTAGCCCTTCTTCTTGGAGTCTTCATGTGCCTGTTTGTACTTTTTCTGAAAATGATCACATAGACATTTATTTTCCTGTTTCAACTGATTTTCCCCAAATAGGAAAAACATTAAAGAAACAAGGAAAGTCATATGTTAAACAGAGTAACATGTAAACAAAATAAAAAGGTGGAAATGTCTCCATATATTCCTGTCATTTTGACATGACTAATGTTCAACTTCTTACTTACCAAGCTGTAGTTGACACTGTTCACCTTGGCCAGAAGTACATCCATGGCATCAGGCATGATGTGAATCTGTGTCTTCACGTTGTCCCAGTTTTCATGATATGCTTTCTACAGATATTAGAAAAAATGACTGTGAGTTTACAAATGCTGAGATTAATCCTTTCATGGCATGACAAAAAAAATGCATGAGCAAATAGGTGAATAATTCAGTTTAAAAAAAGTATTAATCATGATGCTGTATGGGTTCATACCTTGTTCATAACCTGATTGTTGGCCTTAGCTAATACTATGGGCATGTCCTCCGTCGTCATTTTGAAGCTGAAGTTGCAGGGAGGCTGGCGATACTTCTGCTCGCTCAAGATCTCGCTGGCTTTCTTTGCCTTCTCAACATCCAGCGAACCGATTGGTACCCAGCCAACGCCCTGAAGCATCTTCAGATCCTCCTTGTACACAGCCTGTCAAAAGCATCATTTTTAGAAATTTCCCAGAAAATGCTGAAAATTCCCCCACAAAGTTGAGTAAAGTGTTCACACTCACATCACTCTGGATGTTGTAGGCGTGCCGGGCCTGGACCACGTCGTTGGAGTCGGGCAGGCAGGTCCAGTTGTGCAGGCGAGTGATGTAGTTGGCGTGGTTGACCTGGATCTGGTTCTTCTTGGCCAGCTCAAAGGCCAGCATGTCCACAGGCAGGTTGAACTTGGTCTTGGACTGGTTGAAGTCCTTCTTGTACAGAGCATCGCTGGCGATCCTGGCTGAGTTCAGAGCCAGCATGAGCAGCGGGTCGTCCTGGATGCTGCGGGCTCCGATGTGGTGACCCACCTGCTTACGGTACCCAGTCTTGTATTTGTACTGGGAAAGGAAACGAACATAAACCAACGCTATTATCAGCAATCATTTTTGTCACACTTCTCTATACTATCTAAACATTTCTCTGTTCATTTCAATATGAAATTCATCCTGAATCTTAAATATAAAGACGGAACATTTCATTATTTACATCACTGGCAATATCCCTGTTAGCCTTTGCTGCAATGATGGAAATGGCATCATTTCGTAGGTCGTAACCCTTCTTCTTGGCTTCTTCGTATGCCTGTTTATACTTGTTCTGCAAAAAAAGAGAGAAAATATATCAATTCTGGAGGCATCTACTTTGAAATGCTTCATGATGTATGCTTTTAATACATAGGACAGCAGCTTCTTGCTTTTGTTCCTCAGACTCACCTCGCTGTAGGTGACCTTGTTAGCTTTGGCCAGGAGGATGTCCATAGCATCCGGCATGACATGAACGGTGGTTTTATCTTTCTGCCAGGCTTCAATGTAAGCGCTCTGCATGAGAAAAGAACAACTTCAGAAAGTTCACTAGATTACATTTGCAGTGTATCTACCATAAACTTGGAAAAACAGCATTGTTGATTAGATTAAATTAGACAGCTGCCGATGATCGATCAAACTAAGCTGAGCCAAACAGAAATGCTTCTGAACAGTTTAATTCTTAAATCCTTTCTATGCTTTGGAGGGTTGTTCTTCCACCAGTTGCACTTAATCAAATAAAAAAAACTATTCTGTATTAAAACCACAAAGAGGCGGGATTCATGTATGTCACCCTCAAGTTTAGCTTTTTTCATAAATATTGTCATACAAGTTTGTAAATAATCTTAGTTATTGAATGTGCAGGAGACAGCAAAAGAGTAAAGACTGATGAATGATAGTTGCCTAGGCAGAGGAAGCTAGGTATTTCGTACCTTGTTCATAACCTGATTGTTGGCCTTAGCTAATACTATGGGCATGTCCTCCGTCGTCAATTTGAAGCTGAAGTTGCTGGGATGCTGGCGATACCTCTGCTCACTCAGGATTTCACTTGCTTTCTTTGCCTTCTCAACATCCAGCGAACCAATTGGTACCCAGCCAACACCCTGAAGCATCTTCAGATCCTCCTTGTACACAGCCTGTCAAAACATTCATTTTTAGTACTGCGAACTTTCCAAAAAAACCCTGATAATTCCTCCACAGAGTTGAGTAAAGTGTTCACACTCACATCACTCTGGATGTTATAGGCGTGCCGGGCCTGGACCACGTCGTTGGAGTCGGGCAGGCAGGTCCAGTTGTGCAGGCGGGTGATGTAGTTGGCGTGGTTGACCTGGATCTGGTTCTTCTTGGCCAGCTCAAAGGCCAGCATGTCCACGGGCAGGTTGAACTTGGTCTTGGACTGGTTGAAGTCCTTCTTGTACAGAGCATCACTGGCGATCCTGGCTGAGTTCAGAGCCAGCATGAGCAGCGGGTCGTCCTGGATGCTGCGGGCTCCGATGTGGTGGCCCACCTGCTTCCGGTACCCAGTCTTGTACTTGTACTGGGAAAGGAAAATAATATAAACCAAGTCTATTATCAGCAATGATTTTTTTACACTTCTTTATACTATCTAAAGATTTCTTTGTTCTTTTCAACATGAAATTCATCCTGACCTGAATGATATTCATGATAATACAGATTTTTTCCCCAGTGCATAAAACATACAGACACTTACATCACTGGCAATAACAGTGGATGCTTTGGCAGCCAGGATTGGAATGGCATCACCAAAGACATGATGGCCCTTCTTCTTGGACAGCTCGTTATCCAACTTGTATAGTTTCTGATTTGAGATTGAGAAGACATGAACAGTTAGACAAAGCACGTGAGGTTTGCCAAATTCCAAACTTGATTCAGAGCCGAAAAAGTAAAAGTGAAAGTATTACCAACCTCGCTGAAGTTTTTCTTATTATCTCTGGCCAGAGCAATGCTCATCGCGTCCGGCATAATGTGGATGGTAGTCTTGTCTCCATCCCAGGCTTTGGTGTACGATTGCTACAAATCAGGATGCACATTTTATTATTGCATAGAAAACACGAGAAGTCTTTCTTTCTATTTGTCAAAGTCCTTGTGCTGAGTACCTTATCCATAATGCGGTTGTTGGCTGCGGCCAGAGTCAGATCCATAGAGTGCATGTCTTTGGTGAATTTGAAGTTGGCAGGAGGTTGTCTGTAGAGTTTCTCATTTAAAGCTTTTCCAGCTGTTTTTGCCAACTCAACGTCAATCGAGCCAATGGGAACCCATCCCACTCCTTTTACGTAGCTGTCGTAATCTTTCTTATACTGGTTCTAATATGGATACCAAGAGACTTGTTATTGATCAACCAATTAAAATAATATGTTTTGATAAAGAAACATGACCAAAACAATGATGTGAAACATTTTTTTTTACATGTTTAGGCATTTAGCAGGTGCTTTTATCCAAAGTGACTGACAATGCAGACACAATGTTACAGTTAACATCCAAGCTAACGGAAGGCTACATAGAAGGAAATCATGACATACATCACTGGCGATGAACTGCATGTTGCGAGCCAGCACCAGGTTCATGGCATCTGGCAGCACAGTGTAGTGGGGGATCAGCTTCTTATATCCCGCCATAGTCTGGGCAGCAGTGGCCTTCTTGGCATGGATCAAACTCATCATGTCCACTGGGGACTGATACTTCAGCTTGCTCTTGTGGTAGTCTTTCTTGTAGTTCTTATCGCTCTGCAGCTTGGCCAATTCCATGTAGTGGACCAGCAGAGGATCGTCCTTGATGCTGCGGAAGCCCACGTGGTGGCCCCTTGCCTTCTCATAAGCCAACTTGTACTTGTACTGTCACATTAAACACAAATAAACTCATCAACTAAGATACAAAATACATAAACGTGTTTTTTCTTATAGATAAAGAAGCTTTTTGTGAACGTACATCGCTGGCAATAGTGGTACCAGACTTGGCAGCCAAAATTGATATGGCATCTCCTTTGAGGTGGTATCCCTTATTTGCCATCTCCACAACACCTGCTTTGTAGAGTTTCTGCAAAAGAAAAATAATTTAGATGGAAGTGGGATAAAGCTGTTGACCTTAACATCACATTAACATCCCAGAGTCACAAAAGGTGAGTCTTACGTTGCTCATGTTGAGGGAGTTAGCCTTAGCCAGGACAATCTCGGGGGCATCGGGCATGACGTGCACTGTCAGTTTGTCCTTTTCCCAGGCTGAGGTGTAGGCTTGCTGTCAATGAAGGCATCAGAAAAGCAAATGAAGCATGACTCCTGCAGGCAGTATTTCACCTTTCAGCACCCAGTAAAAAAGACGGCACCTTGTTCATGATCTTGTTGTTGGCTGTCGCTAGCGTCAAGTCCATGGAGTCCATCAGTTTGCTGAATTTGAAATTGGATGGATGAGTGCGATACTTGCTGTCACTCAGGATTTGGCTGCCAAGTTTAGCGGTCTCGACTCCAATCGAACCGATTGGGACCCATCCAATACCCCTGATATAGTTGTTCCATTCTGACTTGTAGTTCCACTGCGAATGAATGGGAGGCATAGGTCATACTTACACAGTGCCTCTACTTTTAGAGATCAATATAAATCAAAACAAGGGAAAACCTTACATCACTAGATTGGACGTTCATGGTGCGTGCCAGCTGTAGGTTCATAGCATCAGGTAGGAGAGTGTTAGTGTGCTGGATCTGTCTATATCCCGCCATTGTCTGAGCAGCAGAGGCCTTCTTGGCATGGATCAAACTCATCATGTCCACTGGGGACTGATACTTCAGCTTGGCCTTGTGGTAGTCCTTCTTGTAGTTCTTCTCGCTCTGCATCTTGGCCACTTCCATGTAGTGGACCAGCAGAGGATCGTCCTTGATGCTGCGGAAGCCCACGTGGTGGCCTCTCGCCTTCTCATAGGCCAATTTATACTTGTACTGTAATTACACGAGTAGTTGTTCATCACATAAGGCTGATTGCCAGACAAAATCTCATAGTTTGACTATGGACTTTACAGCCAACTTACATTACTGGCAATGTTAGTACCAGACTTTGCAGCCAAAATTGATACGGCGTCTGCTTTGAGGTTGTAGCCCTTATTAGCCATCTCCACAACACCTGCTTTGTAGAGTTTCTGCACAAAACCATTTGAAACAATAGTTATAAGTCATGAGAATGTGAAGGCAATTTCAGTAACTAATGATAGCACTCTTTCGATGCAACTGACAGACTTACATTGCTCATGTTCAGAGAGTTAGCCTTGGCAAGGACAATCTCGGGAGCGTCGGGCATGACATGAACGGTCAATTTGTCCTTCTCCCAAGCAGAAGTGTACGCTTTCTGCACCAAAGGAAATGGGTAAAGAAAGTTGAATCATTACACTGAGAAACCAGAAAGGTTCCTTTGCACCTCACATTTAAATAGGCCGCACCTTGTTCATGATCTTGTTGTTGGCTGTCGCTAGCGTCAGGTCCATGGAGTCCATCAGTTTGCTGAATTTGAAATTGGATGGATGAGTGCGATACTTCTTCTCACTCTGAATATCACCGCCAAGTTTGGCTGTTTCAACTCCGATCGAACCAATAGGGACCCATCCCATACCCCTGACATAGTTGTTCCATTCAGATTTGTAATTGACCTGGAAACAATGGCAATAAAGTATGATCACTCTGCACAGTAGGATCATTTGCACAAACATGAAACAAGGAAAATGTGTACATTTAATGTTCTAGTATTTTGGTTTTAATGCTTAAATAAAAAAGATATTGGCAATAAAACACATTGGAACTTACATCACTTGACTGGATATTCATGTTTCGACACAGCTGTAAGTGTAAGTTGTCTGGAAGCAGGAAGAAGCTGTGGGGGATCTTCCTGTAGCCGGCATACGTCTGCACGGCAGAGGCCTGCTTGGCATGAGCCAAACTCAGCATGTCCACTGGGGACTGATACTTCAGCTTGCTCTTGTGGTAGTCCTTCTTGTAGTTCTTCTCGCTCTGCATCTTGGCCACCTCCATGTAGTGGACCAGCAGAGGATCGTCCTTGATGCTGCGGAAGCCAACATGGTGGCCTCTTGCCTTCTCGTAAGCCTTTTTATACTCAACCTGAAATAAACAGAGATATGAGTTGGTCCTGAGCAGCTGAGGTTTGGCATCAGTATAAAAGAAATGACTCATGCAAATGTGTTACTTACGTTGCTGGCAATATGTCTGCCGTGTTTAGCATGCAGAATAGAAATGGCATCGGGTTTCAGGTCGTATCCCTTGGCAATATCTTCCAGCCACTTGTGCTTGTAGTGACTCTGCAAAAAATCACCAAAAGTTTGCAAAAATACAATTCTGGTTAACCCTGATGGGAATGAACATCATGGTACATGTAAAAAAGATAGTTATCTAACAGAATGTTCTGTGTTCTGACCTCACTCATGGTCTGAGAATTGAATTTAGCCTGGAGGAACTCTGGGCTGTCAGCTGGGAGATTGTAGGTGTGCATGAATTTCTCACCAGAGGCCTTGTAAGAAGTCTAAAGGGAAAACAAGGACAGTGAGGTCAAGTCAAGAGAGGGAGGTTTTCATAGCCCAATGCTTAAGAAGAAGAAGCCATTTTACTTGGTCCATCTGTTTGCTGTTGCTTAAAGCCAGGACCATGTTCATGGCATCGGTCTTGCTTGTAAAGTTGAAAGTGCTGGGATGCTGGCGATAGCCTTTCTCATTTAAGGCGGCCGTGGCGGTTTTGGCTTTCTCAACATCCACCGAACCGATGGGCACCCAGCCGATACCTTTGCAGTAATTGTTGTAATCTGACTTGTAGACATTCTGTGCGTGTGGAAAAAACAAACATAGCAAAAAGCTATTAGCCTGATAATGTGTTAAAAACATCCAGCAGTATGTCGCAAAGGGGGAAGTATTAACATACATCACTCTGAATGGTCATCATGTTGCGGCACAGCTGTAGATGCAAGTTGTCTGGAAGCAGGAAGAAGCTGTGGGGGATCTTCCTGTAGCCGGCATACGTCTGCACGGCGGAGGCCTGCTTGGCGTGCACCAAACTCAGCATGTCCACTGGGGACTGATACTTCAGCTTGCTCTTGTGGTAGTCCTTCTTGTAGTTCTTATCGCTCTGCAGCTTGGCCACTTCCATGTAGTGGGTCAGCAGAGGATCGTCCTTGATGCTGCGTGGGCCAACGTGGTGGCCTTTAGCCTTCTTATAAGCCAGTTTATACTTGTACTGCATAGAAGAAAGGTTATCATAAACAAAATCCTCGAGCACTCAATTCCTTTAAAGAGGCCATCACAACTTACGTCACTGGCTATGAGACTGGAGGCTTTTGCTGCAAGAATAGGAATGGAGTCCTCTTTCACATGATGTCCTTTGAGCAGATCTTGACGATGAGCGTGCGTGTAATAATTCTAAAAAAAACAAACAGATGAGGTATTTAGAAACATAGAATTGCGTTATGATTGGTCGGTTTACAGCAAATGAGATGATGGTCACCGACCTGGCTGATGTTCACAGCATTGTATCTGGCCTGCATCAGTTCGGGGGCATCGGCTGGGAGATGGTACGTGTGCATGAACTTCTCTCCACTGGCTTTGTACTCTTTCTGTAAATGTAAGACAAATCCCAATGATGATGTTGAATCTTGTAAATGTAAAAATAGCGCTTTTCTAGTCAAGCTGACTACTCAAAGCGCTTTACAATACGTGTCATTCACACACACATTCACACACTGGTTGCACCATTGGGGACACCAGATGCAACCAGTAGGCAACTTGGGGTTCAGAGCCTTGCCCAAGGACTCTTTGACATGTGGGCTGGAGGAACATGGAGTTCAACCACTGACCCTCCAATCAGTAGGCAACTGCTCTTTCCTCCTGAGCCACAGCCGCCCCACAATCTTACCAACTAACTCGATGAGGTTATTATTAGACTTAGACTTAGACTTAGGCAGTACTTTATTGATCCCTTGGGAAGAGTCCCTTAGGAAATTAAGGTTACCAGCAGCTTACAATGCAAAAAAGTATTAAGGTAATTTAATTAAATGAAGCAATAAATGAATAAATAAATAATACAAAAAATACAGATTAAGTACAGTGTATATAATAGGAGTTGTGTTTATGTAATATATCTTCCCCCTTCCCCCTTCACCTCCTTTGGTCAAAGGAAAACACTTTTACCATATTCATTATCTTGGCGTTGGCCTTGGCCAACTCCATGTTCATGGAGTCGGTGACGCTGGTGAATTTGACCGTAGAGGGGTGTTGCCGGTACTTTTTCTCATCAAGAGCCGATGCTGCCGTCTTGGCCCTTTCCACGTCCAGGGAGTCGATCGGGACCCATCCAATTCCCTTGACCGAGGTCTCATAATCCATTTTATAGTTGTTCTGCAAAAAAAACAACAACCAGAAAAACAAGTTACAATACAAATATTTGCAGGTTTTTACCACGGAAAATCTCAAAGGGGTCGGTTCGGGCTTACATCACTGGCGTTGTAGTTCATGGTGCGGGCAAGTTGGAGGTTCATGGCGTCGGGCAGAAGGCAGTAAGTGTGGTGTTGCTTCCTGTATCCAGCAAAGGTCTGCACTTTGGTGGCCTGCTTGGCATGAGCCAAACTCAGCATGTCCACTGGGGACTGGTACTTCAGCTTGCTTTTGTGGTAGTCTTTCTTGTAGTTCTTCTCGCTCTGCATTTTGGCCACTTCCATGTAGTGGACCAGCAGAGGATCGTCCTTGATGCTGCGGAAGCCCACGTGGTGGCCTCTCGCTTTCTCATAGGCCTTTTTGTATTGGATCTGCAAGTCAAAAGCACATTTATTGACTTGTATTTAGCATTTCAAGAGCTTTTCTGCCACAGTGTATTTATCACATGGTGTGTATGGGAGTCCATCCCTCTGACAGACTCACATCACTGGCAGCGTGTCTTGCTGCTTTAGCAGCAATAATGGAGATTGCGTTGGGCTTCAAGTCGTAACCCTTAGCGATGAGCTTGTGCCAGGCAGCCTTGTAAGTGTTCTGAAATCACAAAAAAAGAATTAGCACAAACTGATTAGAGCATGAATCAATTTCAGGACTATAATCAAACCCTTTGGCACCCAGAGTGTGTCTAAGTGTCTGATAAAGTAATATAAAACTGTATGTAAAAATGCCTTTACCTTTAAATGTTGTAAATATTTTTACCTGCTAACCTTTAACAAGCAATGTGCATGATTTTTCCATTTACTCTTTTCTAACTTCACGGAAGGTCATAAGTTTAGGATGTACATCAAAAAAGGAGAACAGAGCATAGCTGTCCTTGCAGCTGTGCCTCCTGGGCTCCACTGAGGATGCGAGATATGACACCCCTTTCTACAAAAATGTCCAAAGATAAGATATGCCTTTGCTATTATGCCTTGTTTTCAGTCTAATAAAAAGCCAAGAGGGGAAAGCAAAAGTCGAAGAGTGTTTCGGATGCAGTGCTGGCGATAGGCTGCATCAGCTCTTCCCTCTTTGCAAAAAGCTTATAGTTCAGAGTCTGTGTCGTTCATTCGCGTTTTCCACTTTTGACGAATGCGAGTGTTTTGAACCTAACAGTGTCTAACTCCAAACAAGTCCTGTCTCAGGAACTGGGATTTGGGAATCACCTGGCTGATGTTGTAGGCGTTGCACTTGGCCTGCTGGAACTCAGGAATATCAGGAGGCAGAGAGTACTTCTGATGAACCTCCTCGAGACCTCTCTTATAGATCAGCTGCAACAGAAAGAGGAGAAAAGAGTCAAAATTGCATAAAAGTGAAACCGAACCCGGTGATCTCCTGAGAGAGTAGACTCACATCACTCCTCTGCAGCTGGTTGACTTTGGCCTGCAACATGACAGGATGGTCGCCGATGGAAGTGAAGGGGATCGTGTCTGGGTGCTGCCTGTACTTTTTCTGAGGGAAAACAAAGACAGGAAGAGCTTCAGCCTTCATGCACAACCTCTCACAGAGCAAATGGGCTCCAGCTAACGTACCTCATTGAGAATCTCTCCAGCCTTCTTGGCCTTCTCCACCTCCAAGGAGCCAAAGGGCACCCATGGGGAACCCTTGGTGTAGCTGTTGTAGTCAGACTTGTACTCGTTCTTTAAAGAAGAAAGAGAGAGTCAAACTGGGTCCTTTTTAAACATAAACTTAAAGACTTTTTATTGAGAGGTCAGACATGTGGACATTAATAATCTGACTGTCTTGATCTTTTATCTGTGATGTTTTAGTGTGTAATTTGTTCTGTTGTGCAGTCACTGTGTTTCGTGTAAAAGCCTAACTTGGGACAGGCATTGAGAATTAGCCTTAGCTAAAATGTTATAGTGTGTGACATGATACATGAAACATACTTGTCCCTATCAAATAAACGAATAAATAAAATAAAAATAAAAACAAACACACTGAGAGTTGATGCGTATTCCACATAAAACCCGTAGAGCGGGGTTTACGCGGTACAATCTCACACAGGCTGACTTTGCTTACATCGCTCTGGATGATGTTGGCCTTCTTGGCCAGGTCGAGCAGCACGCTGTCATAAGGGAGCAGGTAGTTGTGGCTGATGCTCCTGTATCCGGCCATGCTGGCGATCGCCTGGGATTTCTTGGCCGACGTCGTGGCAATCATGTCCAGCGGTGAGTGGTACTTGGTCTTTATTTTTTCGTAGTCCTTCTTGTATTCGCGCTGTGGATATATAGGCAGGGGCTGAGGACGGGGCCGTTCAAAACCAAAGGGACGGCGGCTGCTTTTTAACGACTTACGTCACTCTGAATTTTGGCCACGTGGACGGAGTGCAAGATCTTGGGGTCGTCGTTGATGCTCAGGGCGCCGACCATCTGCCCCCTGTTCTTCTCGTAGGCCTTTTTGTACTTAACCTGCACAGCGGGAGAAGCTCTTAGGACCAGGGTAGACAGAGAAAGACTTAAAGTGGCCGACGGGAGCTGTTACTTACATCACTGGCAATGTTTGTGTGAGCACGAGCAGCCAGGATGGAAATGGTGTCTCCCTTGATTTCAAACTTCTTCGCTTTACTTTTCTCCCAATCATACTTGTAGCAATTCTGCAAGGAGGGAAATCAATTAAATGTGTACAGTTGGGAAATTCAATGAATTTTAGCTGACGGAGAGAGCACTCACGTCGCTCAGGTTGTAAGCATTAACTCTGGACTGGATGAAGAAGGGATAGTCTGGGGGCAGGTTACCCTTATACTTTGTCTCTTCGTACTTTGCCTTGTAGTTTACCTGTAAAAGGGAATAAAAGGAGACATTTGAATCAGTTTTCATCATTCAGGTGAGGTGCTGTTTGTGTTTCCTATCATTTGGGGGCAGCAGCACACAAGCAGGAAACACCGACTGAGCCCTCCCCCCCCCCCCCCTCATCCCGGGGTTTTTTCTGGGCCAACTGAACGCTTGCTGCTATTTATACTACAGAGAAATGGCTCTCCAGTTTCCATGGAGCCCATGGAAAGACAGCTGGGCGACACGGATGATTGAGCACATTTAACAGTGATCTGCACCTCCAGGAGAATTTGATCTAAAGCATCAGCTGACGACTGGAACAATTTCAGTCAGTAAATGCACACAACATTAAGCTAATCTCACTCTAATCAAGCTGCTATAGATCACTGTCATGGAATGCAAATAATCTCTATATTGGCGGGTGTTTTTACATCAAATTACAGTATGAATCCGAAAAGTGAAACAATACATACGTCACTGAGCTGTTTGGCATTGATTTTGGCTTGAAGGAGGACAGGAGAATCATCCACTTGCGTGAACTTCACTTGGTCCGGATGTTGCCGGTACGTTTTCTATAGAATACAACATTGAACAGAGAACATTTGTGTCATAAACAATCCAAAAAAAGTTAAAGTTAAATGATTGTCGGCATCCCATTGGCCGGGACCGCTCACGTCTTTGCACTGCTGGAGCTTCTTTGTGACTTCGTATTCAGGCGTCATCGTTTGAGGGAAGAAGCACCTGGTTTTGATGTCTTCATACTCCGCTTTGTACAGTTGCTGGAAGGAGACGCGCGAACCGTGAGGAACATTTTCAAAAGAAGATCAGCTCATTTTGGAAAATGTTGAGGCTTTACCTCGTTCTTCATCTCCTCCACCTTCTGGCAGTGCAGCATGTAGAGGTCCTCGTAGCTGCCAACATAGTGGCCCTTCACCTGCTGCTCATACTTGTCTTTGTAATGTGCCTGAAATGTTCAAATAAGAAAAGGGTTTGCGTTTAAACAGCATCGCCGGTGGGTGAGATAAGACTGATTTCGGTCGGTGAGCATCCTCACATCATTGAACTGTTTGAGCACAGAGTCCATCTGGAACTTCGGCGTGTCGCAGTAGTTGATGCTGGAGCCCCGAGACTTCTCATAGCTGGCCTTATAAACTTTCTGCAAAGAGTTGAAAACACAATCCAAATTAGTCGTTTAGACTCTGATCTGAGTCGCTGCATCTGGCCCTTTCCCAAAAAGCCTTTCCCAAAAAGAAAATTGGATAAAAACGGCAACTTTTTTTAATCTTTGTTCATTCTACAATTTTTTTTTTAATCGCACAGTTGTAATTTACGTGTATTTTTCAATCAAATTTAATCAAGGTTGTCTGCACATTTTCACTTGAAATTAAAATGCAAAAAAATTCTGCTTTTTCTTTTCTTTTTAAAAAAAACCCATCAATCTGTACAACGCCTCCCTCTGAGAGTCAAACTTAATTATTGACATTATCACCACCACTTATTTAGACCAATATATATACATATAGTTATTTATGTATATATTTATCTATATTCTATGTGGAATTTTGCATATATATATATATATATATATATATATATATATATATAT